TTAATAGATTTGCATAGTATTTACTAAGGCCCACCTTGATAAGTGAAACACCAATTGCACCCTTTTTTATTACTGGACGCATGGATTTACAAACGTTTGGCAGGAATTGGTGAGGTAGAACAAATACAAGAATATCGGCTTCCCTAGTGCATTCAGAAAGATCTGGGATTGCAACAACATTTTGCGGAAGATTGACCCCTGGCAAATATTTGGGGTTTTCGTGGGAGGTGTTAATTATTTCACTTAATTTTCGGCCATCTACTTGCTCTTCAAATACCCACATCTTCACCTAAAGAGAGAGTAATATGCAATCAATAAGACCTTAGGTTGGTAGCTAGGGCTCTTCAAAACATTAGTCCCTATAATTTTTGCTATGGTAGAGCCCCAATTACCAGAACCAATTATGCTAATACTACGCAGTAAAGGCATTGCAGCGGATAGGCAATGAAGGGAGACGGTGACTGCTGAATTTAGCGCATCAACTTAGATATATGATCAACCACTCCAAAAAAATATTAAAAATAAAATCGCCGTTTATTGTTACTCTGAAAAAAAATAATATTTCAAATGTTAGCAGTTATTTTTTAATAATTATTATAACAATTTTTAAAATATGTAAAATATGTACAAACGACAAAAGTATAATTTATTTATTTATTCCGCCGCCTTTTGATTCCCCTAGACAGCACCATACGCAACATCATCGATGGTTAGCGCTTATAGCTACGATGGCTTTTTTGTCATGGGAATCCTGATAGTTTGCACCTGCGCCTATTTTAGCAGAGTCCCTAAGCTTAGAAGTTGGCTTTTCACGGAAAATTCTGGTTTCTGGGGTATATTATATAAATCTGCAGTAATAGGTGTTCGCATGCACATTCTTGTTTCAGTATTGTGCTTTGTGGGCGCTGTTTATGTACTCTTTTTTCGTTAAATAAATACCCTTAACATGATTGCGATTTTTATCTCATGCTCGTGTCCATCCTTCATAATTGTTCTTTTTAGATTCATGGAAGGTGATTCTGAATCATCTCAGGTTTTGCTAGATCAGTATATGGGGCTTAATTCATTGGCGGAATTCATTGTTAAGAAGCGAAATCTCCCTGAAAACACAGTCCATGAACCTGCATTCTTAGAATCGTTATCATCTCTTTCCAAACAGTCTTTAAATCTGCTTTCTTCTTCATTATCTCAATTCAAAACTAAGCGCGATAGTCTTAATAGGAAAATAGAAGATTTTTCATCAACAAATTATTCTGTTTTTTTAAATAAGGCGGAAGCCAATAAAGCAGTCTTAGATGGTTGTGAAGTAATCAAATCGTCAAATGATTTGCTTCTTTCAAAAGTGCCTGATTTGGCTTCTTCTGTTGAAGTTTTTATGCAAAATTCTTTCGATCTGATCAGAAATTCAAAACTAAATATGATTGCTCTTAGGAAGCACACTCAGGTGAGTAGTTTTTCCCTTTCTCCTTAATTCCTAATTTTCTTTCGTTAATGTTAATTTCACTATTCGTTCCTTTTAGATCCTTGAATTATTAGAATTACCCCAATTAATTGAGACATTTTTATTAAATGGTTATTTTGATGATGCCTTGCTGATTTATGCTCACGCAGAAAAAATTAAAAAAAAGCAAACAGGTCGCTCACCTCTTATTCATCTGATTGCGAACCAAGTGCAACGAGTTGGAAATCAATTACTTTCCTATTTGTGTAGGCAGCTTTCTATGCCAATCAGTCTTTCTTCTTGTCTTAAGGTGAGACCTGATTTTTTCTCGTGTCCCAAAAATTTCGTTTGCATTATCCTATTTTGGTGTGAAAGAAAGTTATTTGAAAATTATTGCAATTCTTGAAATCCATAAAGTTACTGTTCTTAAAAATAATATTTTCAGACAATTGTCTATCTACGGCGGATGAATATTTTTAACGAGCAGGAGCTACGTCTCAAGTTTTTACAAGCAAGATCTATCTGCTTAAATGATCGTCTAACTGCTGCATTATATCAGAATACTTACTCGCCTCAGCTTGACTTCGAGCGGCCTCGATCTTCTAGCACAAATATTAACTGTGATAAATCCAACTCAGGTGATATTGTAGAACTAAATGAATTCAAAAATGGGCAATCGAATTTCCTGGATTCATCTAGCTCTAAAAGCTTTATAAAAACTGATCGTGCTCACTATGAGGTTTACTTTCGAGCCACGCATCGAATCGAAGTTACAAGATTGCAGCTTTTTGATATTGTCACCCAATATAGGTAAACCTAATAATCACACCTTAATTTTACTTTTCGAAGCAATTATTTTTAACTCATTTGCCACGTCTTTTCTCTTCCAGAGCTGTATTTGCTGATGATGAGGGTCTCTTAGCTGGGCACATCTCTGACAAAAATTGCTCTACCCCACCTTTATCGATTTGGCATCCACTTTTCGTAGATTATTCACCTTCTAGTCATCTCTACCCGGTTTCAGAATCTCTTTTTCTCCCTAGTACGTCAATGTTCATTGGTTTTTCATCTCTACTGACACGTCCACTACTGGTATCACGCCATTTTTTATTATGTTGACTCAGCTTACAATTTTATATTACATCTATATATTCTATTGCTCTCGTTCCTTCAATGTAGTCTATTTAACTTTCTCACATTGTATTATAGTCTATTGATTTTCATAAATAGATAGAACCATGTAGGTTATATTTCCCTGTATCTAGTTTTATCAATACTATCATGCTCGCGTTTATTTTTCTGATTATAGCTCGCTTCTACCGAACTTTTGTAGATGTTAGTGCCAATTAAAATTTATATCGTGTATTTATTTGCAGTGAGTGCACACCTCATAACTAGTGATGGAAAAAATTTCAAGTCGGTCACTCAGAAATTTCAATGCTAACTTCAGACATGATTTTAATGATTTTTCTTTATTTCTATTCACGGGCTAACTACATTCTATAGAAGTAAATTTAACTGTGATCCCGTCTAATGGCAACCGGTTTGTAATGGCTTTATCCTCTCGAATTATCGGAATTATGTCCTCGAGTTTAGCTATTGAGTCAAAGAAACGCTCCCATTGGTATTATTGTTTTTTGCAGTATTGTTAATCAAATTTTATTCCTTTAGCCCCAGGACACTTTCATGATGGTCTATCTGCACTCTCTGAGTCCAGTCTCTTTCAGTCTTGGCTAACACGACAAATCGGTGTCTTTCTCGCTGGCCTTGGGGCTGATATTGATGCCATCCTACGAATACCTTCCATAACTGAACATTCGGCTGATCGGTTTTTGTCTGCTTCGTATGATAACTTGTCTGCTTCCTCTGCTGCTACCT